ACAGGCGTGACCCACTGTGCCCCGCCCCACACTGGGTCTTTTAACCATTTCTCTATGGCTAGAGGTCATAACTTCATCTTTGTTAAGAGCCCACTGCCTGGAAGTTAGAGCTCACAGCACCCCACCTCCCCGCTCCCCATCTTCCCTGGCGCCTTCAGTCTTTTTCAATCCCTAGTTCCAGCCTGGTCGGTAACACATTAACTGGGTGTTCCTGTTTATCTGTCCTCTGTCATTGCATCTCTGAGTCATAGTCTCTTTGCTCTAAGTCACCGAAAGTGCCCTTGCTACTTTGACGCCTTAAACTTAGTGGTTTTTGTTCTGGGAAGCCTTGGAGTTCTGCTAATACCTGTCACTGTAGGTGCTAGGAAACAGAGGTAAAGAACATGGCCTCAAGGAGCTTCCCGTCCATGAGAAGAGCAAGCTGATGCCTGGCAAAGGTAAATGCCACCATAACAAAAATAAGTGAAAGGGTGCGTTAGCTAATTTGTAAATTCAGCTTCAGGCGAATCCTGCTGTGTGGGCTCTTCTCTGACCTTGGTGTTTGAACTCTAGGGTTCCTTGAACCTCCATCAAGGGTAACATCGAATCCCACTGGCGGCGTCTCGGCACCACCTTGATCACTCTGGCTCAGTTTCTCTGTCCCGTGAATGGAACTCTTAGACCTTTCTTCATCCATTCGAGGATAGAGAATTCAAAGCTCGAGGGATCCATAGGAAGCCAGAACCATGACGAGGAGAAAAAGATTGAGGAGTCTGAGTGGGAAGAGTTTGCCATTTCGAAGACAGCCTCACAGTAGCATTCATTGTGGGAAACGGAGGACTGTGCTGGACGGACTGACACTCTGTGGCTTTTATATTTTGTTTCCTGAGGGAAAAGTCATAGTCTCGGTTCTTGGGGTATCTAAGTAGCTTCATGTACTCCTGGGTGCCTGTTTAAATTTACTTTCAGCATGATCTGCCTCTACCTTTGGTCCTTACGAGGATAAGAGGAACCCTAACGAAAAGCTTCATACCCCAGGTCTAAGTTTTTGCCTTGAAATGTGCCTGGGATCCCAGAAGATCTGGGTGTGGGCTCTTCCTCCCTCTTGCCGAGTGTCCTGTATGTTCTCTGGGGCTAGGGTGGAATTAAGGTGTGGAAGCTGCTGGCCATCTTTGTTATGCTTGCCTAATCACTGTAGGTGGCCTCACCCGCAGTCTTCCTGTGCCCTCCCCCAGTCATTCTGTCCCCTTTCCTGTACCTCATCGGGGACAGCTGCAGCTCATCCCTGGTCTTGTTCTCCCCGAGGTGCTGGTGGTGACTCTGTACAACTTGGTCTCTCCCTGGAACAAGAGGTGGAGGGCAATTCTTAGCCCCTTCCCTCACTACATCATAAGCATCAACACTCTGCTTGGTCCAGAGCTCAAGAATGCTATTTGTAACTTCCTGCGAGTTATTCTGTCAGTAAAACAGGTCGCTGTAGGCTGGCACTAGAGTCCTTTGAATGGTAACCTTCACTGAGGGGCTGCAAGTACCAGGTGACATTTGCCGGTCCTTCACAGGTGTCATGCAAACCAAATATCAGCATTAGCCCCTATTATGCAGAGGAAGTCACTGCAACACAGATGAATGAATGAATTTGCTGCATGTCATTCGGCTAGAACACGGCAGAGCCAGGATTCAGACCTAGGTTTGTCCTGCCGCGTCCCCTACTTGCCTTCAGCTGCTGTGTACTTGGTGTTACCATAATGTAGATCATCTCAACAAAACAGAGCCACAATTTGTTAATGTGATATTAGCAAATATTTAGCACATAATAAACATACTTTTCTTACCTTAAAAATAAAATATTTGGCCAGGCCTGGTGGCTTATGCCTGTAATTTTAGCATTTTCGGAGGCTGAGGCGGGGCGATCGCTTGCGCTCCTGAGTTCAAGACCAGCCAGGAAAAAAGCAAACCCCATCTCTACAAAAAAAAAAAAAAGAAAGAAAAGAAAAATAAATTATCTGGGCATAATCCCATCTAATCAGGAGGCTGAGGTAGGAGGATCACTTGAGCCCAGGAGGCAGAGATTGCAGAGAGCTGAGATCGTGCCCCTGCACTCCAGCCTGGGTAATAGAGCCAGACCTTGTCTCAAATGACAACCATGAAAATCAAATCCTCAGGCCTGGGGCTGTGACTCACACTTGTAATGCCAGCACTTTGGGAACCCAGCAGTTTCAGACCACCTGGGCAACACAGTGAAACCCTGTCTCTACAAAATTTTTTTTAAAACTTAGCTGGGCATGGTGGCATGTGCCTGTAGTCCCAGCTACTTGGGAGGCTAAGGTGGGAGGATGGCTTGGACACAGGAGTTTGAGGCTGCAGTGAGTTACGATCTGCCACTGTACGGCAGCCTGGGTGACAGCGAGATCCTGTCTCTATAAACAAAAAGACATACACAAACCAAAGCCATCAAATATTCAAAATGTTTTCATGACTGAGAGACTGTATAATGTGGTTTTTTCTTGAGACCGAGTCTCACTCTGTTGCCCAGACTGGAGTGTAGGAGCACGATTTTGGCTCACTGCGACTTCTGCCTCCCGGATTCAAGAGATTCTCCTGCCTCAGCCTCCTGAGCAGCTGGGAGTACAGGTGTGCACCACCACGCCCGGCTAATTTTTGTATTTTTAGTAGAAACGGGGTTTCACCATGTTGGTCAGGCTGGTCTCGAACTCCTGACTTCATCATCCGCCTGTATTGGCCTCCAAAGTGCTGGGATTACAGGCGTGAGCCCCCGCACTCAGCGTCTAATGTGTTTTTGATGGGAAAGAAGGTGAGATGTGAGGGGCCACCGGAGAAAAGCAGGATATGAAGAAAGTGGAATGATTTTTCTAGATTCAAATAAGCAAGTGCTTATCTTGTAATCATTTTTGTCTCAAGGATTTTAGACTCAAAGATAGAAACTCACTGAGAATCCCACTGATGCCAAAAACAGCTTGTGGAGCAGGGCCAAAGCAGGGGTGCAGATGACCCTGTTCCCAGAGAGGGGTCCCAACCCAGACTCCAAGAATTCTTGCACAAGGAAGAACTCAGGGCCAGTCCATAAAGTGAAAGCAAGTTTATTAAGAAAGTAAAGGAGGCCGGGCGTGGTGGCTCACACCTGCTTGCCCATTTTTATGGTTATTTCTTGATTATATGCTAAACAATGGGCGGATTATTCATGCTTCGTCTTTTTAGACGATGTAGGGTAACTTCCTGTGGTTGCCATGTCATTTGTAAACTGCCAGGCACTGGCTGGAATGTAGCAGTGAGGGGGACAGCAGGTCACTCTCACCATCTTGGTTTTGGTGGGTTTCAGCTAGCTTCTTTACTACCACCTGTTTTATCAGGAAAGTCTTTATGACCTGTATCTTGTGCTGAGCTTTTATCATCCTGGGACTTAGAATGCTTTAACCGTCTGGAATGCAGCCCAGTAGGTCTCAGCCTCATTTGGCTCCACCGTTATTCAAGATGGAGTCGCTCTGGTTCACACACCTCTTACAGCCCCACATGACTTCCTTGTCTTTGCTGTGGCTTCATCTGCAGTCAGCAGCGGGTGGGGAAGAGGACCCCAAAAGAAAATGCCTAATTCCCTAAGCCGAAAGCCTTGGAGGTGTGTGCATGTAAACAGTGCATGCACCGAGAAGGCAACCCTGACTCATCTCCATATTGCCTCGTTATCTTCAGAGGAAGCCCACCCTTCTCAACTCTACTTTGGGATGTTGGAAAGGTGACTCTTGAAACCACGTTTCTGCGTAAACTCTGCCAATAGAGGGCGCTGGAGGGAGACAGGAGGCTGGAGGAGGGACTTCCTGTTTGCTTTCTACGTACTTCCTGCTTCTGTGAGCGTCACCATGCCAACGCCTATTTACCTCTCAGCGGGAGTTCTTTTGTGTAGCCACACGAAATTCCGTTTACAGTAGCTGTCAGTAGAGAGACCCCTCAGCTGCCCCCCGACAGACCTGGATCTCAGCCTAGAGGGCTCTCCTCTGAGCTCAGAGACCTCAGCAATAGTTGAGTGGTCCCTATTCCTTTTTCTTTGAGATGGAGTTTCGCTCTTGTTACCCAGGCTGGAGTGCAATGGCGCGATCTCGGCTCACCGCAACCTCCGCCTCCTGGGTTCAGGCAATTCTCCTGCCTCAGCCTCCCGAGTAGCTGGGATTACAGGCACGCGCCACCATGCCCAGCTAATTTTTGTATTTTTAGTAGAGACGGGGTTTCACCATGTTGACCAGGATGGTCTCGATCTCTTGACCTCGTGATCCACCCACCTCGGCCTCCCAAAGTGCTGGGATTACAGGCGTGAGCCGCCGCACCCAGCCGTGGTCCCTGTTCTTTAGAGCTATGAGTTTCAGCTTCTTTGGTATCCCTCCACCCAAAATTTAAATTCAATAATTTTCATTTCCTCCCTTAATTCCCTCGATCTAGGAGTGGTAGCTACTTCCAAAAATTGCCAGGGCCCTAATAGTGTCCCCTTCCCCCACACTTCATACCTTAACTTTATACCTAGTTAAGTTGTTTATGTTAAACCTGCTCTGTTGAGGATGGGCATGGGGCTCACTCCTGTAATGCCAGCACTGTGGGAGGCTGAGGTGGGAGGATCGCTGGAGCCCAGAAGTTCAAGACCAGCCTGGGCAACGTAGCAAGACCTCATCTCTATTAAAAATTAAAAAAAAATTAGCTCCGCATGCATAATGGTGTGTGCCTGTGGTCCCAGCTGCTCAGGATGCTGGGCCAGAAGGCTGTCTTGAGCCCAGGAGGTCAAGGCTGGCTGCATTGAGCCATGATCACACCACTGCACTCCAGCCTGGGTGACAGAGCCAGACACTAAGAACAACAACAACAAAAACTTACCCGGTTCAGGTATTTGGCTAGGAATGTTGCATTTTAGGAGGAGCTGTTGTGGGTGAGGTTGGGGAGAGTCTAGCAACGTCAGCAGCTTTGAAAAAGGCACTTTGTGATCTACGCCATGGCCAAAACCAGCCCGTAGTGTAATCCATTCCTCAGACTGCCAATAGCTCTAGATTCACAGATATTAATGAGGGATATCTACAAACTAGATACCTGTGGGTACTTCTATAGCCTACAGATTATTAACAGTCATGCAAAGGTGCAGAGTCATTCCCACCTCCTGTAGTGTTCAGGGAATATGAGTGACATTTGGACTCGCAAACAAAAGAAGGCAGGGGCATATCTCTGTGTTTCTGTGGTTCCTTGTTGAGACAGTGAGGCTGTCAGGTTCTTGCGTGAGCACCGACAGGCTTTTATGAATAGTTCATGACCCAGGTACACACTGGGCTGTTGGGGCTGAAATATCTGGTTGCCTTTTTGTATGTTGCCAGCATTCTTTCCTGCCTCACTCACTCCCCTGAATGGCTTGTGCTTGAGAATGTTTCTGCCTGATTTATCTGAGCTTGATCTCTTACATGAGAGCAGGAAGTCTAAAGGTGAGCGATGGAGTCATTTGCTGCTGTTCTCTACTTTGCAGATATTAAAGAGGAGCCTGAAACCACTTCTTGGACGTCTCATGAATGTCGGAAAGTATCTTTTGGAGGTTTAGAAGATCAGGGGCAAGGCTGCTCACATTTGCCGCCATCAAACAAAGCCAGGCTTCACTTGGAGACAGAATCGCACCTTGTGCAGAGATCAGCCCACGAAAGGTGAGAACTGTCTTCCTTTTTTGTTTTCCTTCCTCTTAGATCCCCATAAAAGTTCCCACTAAAGAGGATACAATTTTGTGTTTAGAAAGAGACACAACAGGGGAAAGGAATCATTGCCTGAAGGATGTGGCACATTCTTTCCTCTCCTTCCGGGGATTATTTTCTGTAATACCTGGTTTTCTTTGCTGCTGTTCAGCCTCCTTTGTTGTAGTTTTTAGTTTTTATTATTTATTTTCTTATTTGTCTTAGGATTTCAGTGTAGAACATTTTCTCTTTTCCTTTTTTTGAACGGGTTTCCTGTTCTTCAGTGGACGGTGAAATTTGTTTGGGAGTCAAACAAAATGAAAACGGGCTGTAATACTCCCTGTAGGTGTGGTTTGCTGGAACAAGCATTAGGCTTGTAGACAAAAATGCTGGGGAGAAGAGGAGTGGAGAGGAGTCCCAGATTCTCTTCTTAGAAGGTGTGTGTATTTAGCTTCTATTATCTTATGTATGTAAGAGGCTTAATAGTGTATTTGTGATTGTTGTGAAGGTTATCAAATGGGGCAGCGTAAAGAAATATTTCTCAAAAAAACATTTCTTGCCCACAAAAGGTACTCGTTAAATATCGTATATACGCAGCTTGTGTGCAGGTATATTTTAAATTTGGATGGACACTCTGAATGATTTCAGTGCATTTTTAGGGAGAATATCCAGTTATTTTTACTTCTTTGAGTGAGGTATTACTCGACGTCACATCTGACCAATGAATGACGTGGTGAAAAGCGTTCTACTGCTATGTAAATTGCCAAAATAGAAGCAAGAAATGTTTTAAAAGGACCTTTAGGTTTCTAGAACTGATGCCAAGAGTCTGAATTTTATGGACTTCCCTTCGGATCTATCAGAAACTCCGGCCCCCAGATAAGAGCTACCTTGTCGGGTGGTAAGGCATGAGAAGAATGAGGAGTGAGGGCAGGTGGGGGCTTCCTCTTCCGATGACACTCCATGGCGGCAGGTGCTCAGCTCTGCTGAGCCAGAGGCAGACCTCAGTGTGGTCGGCTAGTTTGTAGATCTTCATCAACAAAGCAGATGTAAGGGGCTTGTAGGCAGGTCTTTACTAAGGATGTGGATCCAGGTCAGGCATATGTTTCTCCATCCGTTTGGAATGGAACTGGATGTTTCTGGGAATGATTGGTTTGTAACCGGAGGCCTTCTGTTCTGTCCAAGGATCCCGTCGTCCTCCTCCTTCCCTGTGCTCAGTCTCCAGCTGTCTCCCGTTCTGTGACGATGGCTCAGTGGAAGAGACTCTGCTGGCAGCATTACTTGTGGGCCCTGGGCTGTTACATGCTGCTGGCCATTGTGGCTCTGAAACTCTCTCTCAGGTTGAAGTGTGACCCTGACCACTTGGGTCTGGAGTTCAGAGAATTTCAAAGCCAGTACTGTAGGAATATCTTGTACAACTCCCTGAAGCTGCCAGCAAACAGGTCCATCAACTGTTCGGGGGTCACCCGAGGGGACCAAGAAGCGGTGTTGCAGGCTATTCTGAGTAACCTGGAGGTCGGGAAGAAGCGGGAGCCTTTCAGCGACACGCACTACCTGTCCGTCACCAGAGACTGTGAGCGCTTTAAGGCTGAAAGGAAGTTCATACCGTTCCCGCTGAGCAGAGAGGAGGCGGAGTTCCCTATCGCATACTCCATGGTGATTCATGAGAAGATTGAAAACTTCGAGAGGCTCCTGCGCGCGGTGTATGCCCCTCAGAACATATACTGCATCCACGTGGATGAGAAGTCCCCAGAAACTTTCAAAAAGGCAGTCAAAGCAATGACCTCGTGCTTCCCAAACGTCTTCATAGCCAGTAAGCTGGTTCGGGTGGTTTATGCCTCCTGGTCCAGGGTGCAAGCTGACCTCAACTGCATGGAAGACTTGCTCCGGAGCTCCGTGCGATGGAAATACTTCCTGAATACATGTGGGACGGACTTTCCTATAAAGAGCAACGCAGAGATGGTCCAGGCTCTCAGGATGCTGAATGGGAGGAATAGCATGGAGTCAGAGGTGCCTACTGAGTTCAAAGAAAACCGCTGGAAATACCACTTTGAGGTAGTGAGAGACCGGTTACACGTAACTGGAAAGAAGAAGGATCCTCCCCCTTTTAACGTAACCATGTTCACAGGGAATGCATATATTGTGGCTTCCCGAGATTTTGTCCAACATGTTTTGAAGAATCCTAAATCCCAACAACTGATTGAATGGGTAAAAGACACCTACAGCCCCGATGAACACCTCTGGGCCACCCTTCAGCGTGCACGGTGGATGCCGGGCTCTGTTCCCCACCACCGCAAGTACGACATCTCAGACATGATTTCTATTGCCAGGCTGGTCAAGTGGCAGGGTCACGAGGGAGACATCAGTCAGGGTGCCCCTTACGGCCCTTGCTCTGGAATCCACCAGCGGGCGATCTGTGTGTATGGGGCCGGGGACTTGCACTGGATTCTTCAAAACCATCACCTGTTGGCCAACAAGTTTGACCCAAAGGTAGACGACAGTGCTCTTCAGTGCTTGGAAGAGTACCTGCGTTATAAGACCTTCTATGGGACTGCACTTTGAGACGCACTGTGAGAGCATTGCTACCTGTGGGGCAAGAGCACGTGCAAACATGCCGAGAACTTGCTGGGACAGGGTGGGTGGGAGACCAGGGCATTGCAGTCCATGGCATCCCCTAGGATAAGTGGGCTGCTATGAGAGGGTGGGTAAGTAGATCTGTTGCCTTGTAAATTGCTGCCTGGGTGAATGGTGCTGCTTCTCCCACCCCTAGCTCTAGCACGTCCTCCATTGTCCTTACCGAGTGAGAATGAGAACTGCTGTGATTTGGGAAAGTGAAGGGGGGATGTGTGATAGGGAACTGGATTTCGGCTTTTCCATTCTGTGGAGCTGCTGTTCCTCATAATTCTAGGTTTGGTAGCATGGAGAACGTTGATGGAAAGAGAGCCTCCCTTTTGTACTGTTAACTTAAAAGCAAATAAATCCTGATTCAGAGTCTTACCTCTACTTTTTGCCTAGTATGCCAGAAATAATATAAATAGATAAATGTGTAAAACTTGCTCGTAAGTATTGGTGACATTTAAAATCCCTAGGGGCTGGCAAGAGAGTTCTCATTTTTCTGAAATGGTCCTGACAAGCGGCATGAATAGCAGATTCTTATGAAGATGGGGGAGCAGAGCTGCATTTTTGATTGTTTGAAAGCCAGGCGAGGTGGCTCATGCCTGTAATTCCCACCACTTTGGGAGGCTGAGGTGGGTGAATCACCTGAGGTCAAAAGTTTAAGACCACCTTGGACTATATGGTGAAACCCTGTCTCTACTAAAATACAAAAAATTAGCTGGGTGTGGTGGCAGGCACCTGTAATCCCAGCTACTCAGGTGGCTGAAGCAGAATTGCCTGAATTTGGGAGGTGGAGGTTGCAGTGAGCTGAGATTGTGTCACTGTCCTACTTCCTGGGCGACAAGAGTGAAACTCTGTGTCAAAAACAAGAAAGGAAGGCTGTCCTCATTTTGTTTATATTGCCAGGTTCGTGACTTTTCTGTAAAGGAAAAGGCAGGGTGATTTAACCAGTTTGACCACCTGTATTCTTCCAGGAAAATCACAGCACTAATTCTGTCCGCCTCACAGCAAAAGCTTCACTAACTTTCCGTAATGAAGACAATAGCCATTCAGTCAAGGTAATGTGTATTATTCAGAGTGGAACATGCTTTTGTAGGGGGATGGTCTGCACTATTAATAATTATATTGAGAAATAAAAATAAACTAGGACCATTTAGCTAAACCAGGATGTCTGCTTATTCCATGTTTAGGCCTCTTGAGTTAAAACTGTTTTTTCTTTTTCTTTTTTTTTTTTTGAGACATGGCCTCGCTCTGCCGTCCAGGCTGGTGTGTAGTGGCATGATCTCGGCTCATTGCAGCCTCTGCCTCCCGGGTTCAGGTGATTCTCCCACCCCAGCCTTGCAAGTACCTGGGATTATAGGTGTGAACTACCACGTCCAGCTAATTTTTGTGTATTTTTAGTAGAGATGGGGTTTTGCCATGTTTGCCAGGCTGGTCTTGAACTGCTGGTCTCAGGTGGTCCACCTACCTCAGCCTCCCAAAATGCTGGGATTACAAGCGTAAGCCACCACGCCTGACACTCCTCTTGAGTCAAAAGTCTCATTTCAGAATGTGAATGCAGGGATCCTATTTGTGATTCTGCAGATTACACATTTCCTTGTAGGGGACAATAAGGTATATGGATACACACACTCAGCAGGCCACCTCCCAAATGCTACCTAGTGAAACACTTTCCTTTCTGAAGCTCCACGGATAATTGTTGGCTAAGTTACACTCTTCTATGATGGGCAAGGGACACTACAGAAATATAGGCAGTGCCCTCTGAATATAGTGCTGTCATCTCCTGTATACACAATACTCTGGAAAAGTGATTTATATGGAGTTAATTTGTGTAAGCTGAAAGGCTTCCCATTAATATGTTGTGATGTCATTAATACGTTTCTGTATTTCTGATGTCATTCATCAGGTTTCTCTCATGATCAACTTTGCTCTGCAAGCCCTGTAACTCTGACCGTTATCACTGTGTCTGACACAGTGAGTTTTTTATTCAGAAGTTGATGACTTCTGGCCACATGTGGTGGCTCATCCTGTAATCCCAGCACTTTGGGAGGCCAAGGCAGGTGGATCACTTGAGGTCAGGAGTTTGAGGCTAGCCTGGCCAACATGGTGAAACTCCATCTTCACTAAAAATACAAAAATTAGCCAGGCGTGATGGTGGCCACCTGTAATCTCAGCTATTCGGGAGGCTGAGGCAGGAGAATCACTTGAACCTGGGAGGTGGAGGTTGCAGTGAGGTGAGGTCATACCAGTGCACTCCAGCCTGGGGGACTGAGTGAAACTCCGTTTTAAAAAATAATAAGTTGGTGACTTTTTTGGGGGTAAGGTTGTACTTCTTAGGTAATGGGCATTGTCACTACCAACTTACCTGCATTGTAATAGAGTCCTATTCACTTTGCTCCCAACCCCACCACGGAGATGACTGATAACTAGTTATATACGTGGTGGATGTGCCCGGAGAGGTCTGTGCCCAGCAACGGTGATCGGTGATCGCAGTGGTGATCATGGCCTCCCCCTGCTGGCCGATGTGACGGTCCCTGGCTCTCCTCTGAAGGAGACAGAAGGAGCACACACACTACCACTGTGTGAAGTAGGCAGAAAAGCCTCCCTAGGTCCTTGTTGTCTGAGAAAAAAACTTTGGCCTTACAGTTAACTTAGTCTAAGAGCTTTCATGGGAAATAAGTTACAATTTTTACATAAATAAAAAGATGAAAATGTGGACTTGTCGTTTTTTTGGGGGATAAGTGGCTGAAATTTTCCAGCCATTGAGATTTTCTCTAGAAATATATATATTCAGGTGAAAGGAAGTGCTCTTTATTTAATAATACAAGGTCTTCATATCAGAGGGGTTGAGTTTCTCCCCCATTTGTTTAGTCCTGTCATCTCCTGCATACAGAATACTCTGGAGAAGTGATTCATATGGAGTTAATTTGTGTAATCTGAAAGGCTTCCCATTAATATGTCGTGATGTCATTAATACGTTTCTGTATTTCTGATGTCATTCATCAGGTTTTCTCTCATGATCACCTTTGCTCTGTGCAAGCCCTGTAACTCTGACAGTTATCACTGTATTATAGAAATCATACACCAGGCTGTGCATGGTGGCTCACACCTGTAATCCCAGCACCTTGGGAGGCCGAGGCGGGCAGATCACAAGATCAAGAGTTTTGAGAACACCTTGGCCAACGTGGCGAAACCCTGTCTCTACTAAAAATACAGAAATTAGCTGGGCGTGGTGGCACTAATCCCAGCTGCTCAGAGAGGCTGAGGCAGGAGATTCACTTGAACCTGGGAGGAAGAGGTTGCAGTGAGCCGAGATTACACCATTGTAATCCTGGACAACAAGAGCAAGACTCTGTCTCAAAAAAAAACAAAAAAACAAAAAAACAAAGAAACAAAAAACACACACCAACACATCTGTTGATTCTTCTCTTCCCTCTGAGTCCTCTCTGTTTCTTCTACCATTCTCTGGTAAGAAAAAAATCTCATAAATTAAGTGAGCAACTACGTTTGTATTACGTCTCAAGGTTAGAACTTCCTCCTTATTTTTGATTTGTGGACTATTGGTGAGCATTGTTTTAATAACTGCATTTTTGTTGTGCGCTCTGCTCGTTGTGATTTTGTTCTGTTGGTTGAGTGAAAAAATAGTTTCTCTTTTGAAACAGGGGTCTCACTCTTTTGCCCAGGCTGGAGTGCAGTGCTGCAATCACAGCTCACGGCAGCGCCGACCTCCTGGACTCAAGCGATCTTTCCACTGCAGCCATCCTGGGGCTGCAGGTGTGTTCGGGGCACCTGAGGCTGCAGTGAACTATGGTCATCGTGCTACTGCATTCCAGCTTGAGTTGAAAGAAGGCCAGGCACGGTGGCTCACACCTGTAATCCCAGCACTTCAGGAGGCTGAGGCAGGAGGATCGCTTGAGCCCAGGAATTTGACCTGGGTTCAAGTGATCCTCCTGCCTCAGCCTCCTGAGTAGCTGGGACTACAGGCATATGCCACCATGCCCAGCTTGAAAATTTTTTAAGAAAGAAGGAAAAGGCAGTTGATGAGCTTGTTTGGGAACATATGACATAATTCAGTTGGGGACATTAAATGCTTTGATTAAAAATGGAAAGAACACTGGGGCTAGGTGTTCTTTAGCACTTTAGGCGACTGAGGTGGGAAGGTTACCTGAACCCAGAAGTCTGAGGATGCCGTGAGCCATGACCACGCTTTTGCACTCCAAACTGGGCGTGAGAAGAAGATCCTTCTTAAGAATATTGGGAACGATAGTAAGAGGAGTTAAAAAAAGAAAGAATAACTAAATACCTTGCCTGCTTCTCTGCTTTAAGTATCTTACTTGACCTAAAGATCTGTTCTTTTATTTTTTAAAATTTTTCATACTTTTTAGAAATAAGATCTCACTATGTTGTTGCTCAGCCTGGTTCTGAATTCCTGGGCTGAAGTAATCCTCTTAGCCTCCTGAGTAGCTGGGATTACAGGCATGTGCCACTGTACCTGTCCACAAGAATTTGATCTGACTGCTTCTGTTTAGTCTTTTTTTTTTTTTTTTTTTTTTTTTTGAGATGAAGTTTTTGTCTTCATGCCCAGGCTGGAGAGTGCAATGGTATGGTCTTGGCTCACTGCAACCTCTGCCTCTGGGGTTCAAGCGATTCTCCTGTCTCAGCTTCCCAAGTAGCTGGGATTACAGGCATGTGCCACCACGCCTGGCTAATTTTTGTATTTTTCATAGACAAGGTTTCGCCACGTTGGCCAGGCTGGTCTCTAACTCCTGACCTCAGGAGATCCGCCCGCCTCAGCTTCCCAAAGTGCTAGGATTACAGGCATGAGCCACCTCGCCCAGCCCATTTAGTCTTTTATTACAAAGATCCATAAGATATGGTTCCTGCCTCTATGAAGCTTGAGTGTACTGGCAACCAGTGAGATAGCTTATTCATTCCACAACTGTTTATTGAGCTCTTACTGTTTACCAGGAATTGTTCTTGGCACTGGGGATATGATAGTCAGTAACACAGAGAGAAATCCCGGCACGCGTGTTGTTTGCATACTACTGAAAACCAGGCTGTAAATAGTAGAAGGAAACAAATGAAAGAGATCACCGGAAGTGACGGAGAACTTGGGAGGATGGAGTAAAAAGGGAAGATACTTAACATTTTAAATTGGGTGGGCTGGGTTGGCCATGGAGGCTCACATCTGTAATCCCAGCACTTTGGAAGGCTGGGACAGGAGGGTAGCTTGAGCTGTGGAGTTACAGGCTGTAGTGAACTACTGTTATTGTGCCACTGCATTTCAGCTTGAGTGACAGAGTGAGACCTTGTCTCAAAACACACACACACACACACACACACACACACACACGCACACGGGTAGACAAAAAA